GCGGGGAGCAGGAGCCGTGGGGGGCCAGGCTGAGGGGGGTGGGGGGCCAGAGGGAGGGACAGAACCCACCGAGGGAGGCAGGCAGGGCAGGACGGGGCCTGTCGGTGTGGGGGTGGAGGGAGCACAGAATCCCGGGACCTCACTGCGGCACTGTCTGCTTCTGTGATCCAGCCCAACCTCTCACCTTCTAGGACCCTGTTTTCTTCATAAAATGCCTTTTCCCTTGGCCGTTTTTTTCAGCATTTATAATGTGCCAGGCACTGTGCTAAATGCTTTAAGTTAGAATGACCTCCTGTAGCAAGTTCTCATAAGCAACAGATATGCTAATGCTAGTTTAATCCCCATCCTATATAATAAAAGCGTAGTATGCAAATTGTCCCCTTGACCGGGAGTTCGCCTGGAAGTTCGACCAGGGGCAGGGCTGGCTGGGGAAAGGGAGGGAGACCTCGGCCAGCAGCCAGCAGCCACTAGGCCCTAGGGCCCCTACCAGTGCACGAATTTTGTGCACTGGGCCTCTAGTTTAATAGATAAGGAAACTCAGGCTCCCAGAAATTCAGCCGCCTGCCAGAGGTCACACAGCCAGAGGTCACACAGCCGGAGGTCACACAGCCAGAGGTCACACAGCCGGAGGTCACACAGCCGGAGGTCACACAGCCGGAGGTCACACAGCCGGAGGTCACACAGCCGGAGGTCACACAGCTGGAGGTCACACAGCCGAGGTCACACAGCCAGAGGTCACACAGCCGAGGTCACACAGCCGGAGGTCACACAGCCGGAGGTCACACAGCCGGAGGTCACACAGCCGGAGGTCACACAGCCGGAGGTCACACAGCCGGAGGTCACACAGCCAGAGGTCACACAGCCGAGGTCACACAGCCGGAGGTCACACAGCCGGAAGGCAGGGATGCTGCTTTGCCACCTGGGCTTGCCCATCTCCAGGGCCACACCCCTTGCTGTGAGGCTCTGCTGCCTTCAGGGACAGTAGCACCTGTCCTCCTAGCGGGCAGGTGGGGAGCAGCAGATCGGCCCCCAGGTGTGAAGGGGCTCTGCCAACTGCATCGCCATCTAACGCACACGCACACGGTGGTACAAAGGGCTTTCCCAGTGGACGGCAAAACACTGGGCTGGGACGCCCTGAGACTGAGGCATGGACCCCGGAGTAAACTGGCACAGGCAGCAACCTCCCAAAGGGAACGGGCTTTCGCAACAAGCAGGCCACTTCGCAGCAACACGCCCTTCGGAACGACGAGGCCGACTTGACTTCATGTGACAGTGGTGGCTGGACAGCGCCAGGGAGGAGCAGTCTCCTGTCCTGAGTCCTCCCACTGCCATCAGGGGTGTTTTTATTCTGGTCTGGCGGGGCCGTCCTCGGAGGCTCTGGGCTCAGCAGGGTTCTGGTCCAGTCAAGAGGGGCAGATCCGCCGAAGCCGGTTTGGCTCAGTGGATAGAGCGTCGGCCTGCGGACTGAAGGGTCCCGGGTTCGATTCCGGTCAAGGGCATGTGCCTGGGTTGCGGGCACATCCCCAGTGGGAGGTGTGCAGGAGGCAGCTGATCGATGTTTCTAGCTCTCTATCTCTCTCCCTTCCTCTCTGTAAAGAATCAATAAAATATATTTAAAAAAAAAAAAAGAGGGACAGATCCTGCTGGTTCCTGCCCCCCAGGACCCTGGCACCACACAGGGCCGGCAGCCTGGGGAAGGTGAGGCACCCCAAGGAGAAGCCCCCCAGGCTCTGGGAGCTGGTGGAGCTGGCACGAGGGTCCGGAGGTGGCTAGGGGCTGTGGAGGGTGGGGACGGGCCCCCTCCCCTGCTGCCTTTACTGGCCTCGCCCGGGTTTGCCGAGGCAGGCTGCTTGGTACTCTGCTCAGGCCCCTGCACCCGCCTCCCAGCTTCCCTGCCAGCGGCCTCCTCCCCCAGCCCAGCCTGGGCCATGCATTATCCTCGCAAGATTGAGGACCTAATGGAGGCGATCAGCACCCGGGGGAGCCGCTCCATCCCGGCTCCCGAAGGAGGGCAGAGCAGCGCTCGTTGGCGGCTTTGCCCACCCCGAGATCGGGGTGCACTTGAGCGGCCCCTGGGATTGAGGAGGGGCTCCCGGCCCCCTTCTGGGAGAGCTTTGGACAACTTCAGTCCAGGCAGCATTGCCACAATCCCTCTCCCCCTCCCCATAGGACACCCTGAGCATCCGGGGTCCCTGTGGGAGGCCACCGTGAGGACCAGCTCTCTTGGACCTTTTGCTTGTCTTGGGAGGTCATGCCCCCGCCCCCCCTCTCCACCCCACACCCTTGCCTGACTGCCAGCTGTCCAGCCTTAGAGCCAGCCCTCCACTGTCCATTGTTCCTCCACTCTCCTCCCACACAGGGCAGCCCCTCCCCCACCTGGGGCTTCAAAGGCCACTGTGGGCCTCCCTCTGGGCGTGGTGAGGGGGACAGCTGCCCCCAAAGCAGCATTCAGCAGCTCCTGGGAGTGAGCGGCACAGGCCGGGAGGGGATCCTGGGCATGAGGAGGTCACGGGAGGGAGGCCCGGGGCAGAAGGCCTGGGAAAAGCCCGGGGAGGGGTGAGAGGCCGCAACGGTGACACCAGCATGAAAACAACACCAAGAGCAGCCGGTGCTCCTTGAACACACAGCGGACCGGGCGCTGTTTTCCACGCATCACGTCATGTCCTCCTCTCGGGAGCTGGTTACACTAGGTCCGTGGTCGGCAAACCGCAGCTCGAGAGCCACATGCGGCTCTTTGGCCCCTTCAGTGTGGCTCTTCCACAAAATACCACGTGCGGGCGCGCACGTACAGTGGGATGAAAACTTCGTGGCCCAGGCGCAGAAGCCGGATTTTGTGGAAGAGCCACACTCAAGGGCCAAAGAGCGGCATGGGTTTTGGAGGGGATGTTCGCACCCCCCTTGTTAACTGCCCTCCAAGAAAAAAAAAAGGTGTTTTAAAAAAAAAACCCTTTTTCGGAAACAACGAGATGGTTTGTTGGTTGATAGGGAACCAAAGCCCACCGTCAGAGCGGGAATTATTCCCGCCATAGAGGGGGCCCGCCGGTGTTGGGGGGAAGGGTGGGGGTTGCTACTTCGGCAATGAGTGTAGAAAGGAGTGGGAGGGGTGCTTT